AGTGATCGTGGCTGAATTATACTGGACTTATGTTCCTGATCCACAACATTGGACCCCGTGATATGGAAGAAAAAAAAAGAGAAAGTAGTGACTGTGAACCACAGCAATAAGAATTTTCTCTCACTGAGGTTAAAAAAGCACAAATCTATACACATAAAGATAAATATGTAGAAAGCAGTTTGAAAATATGAACATTTACCAAAATATTAATAGGTTCTCCCATAGGGACTATGGCTTCCCTTGGCCATAGATTTTGATTACATGATTACAGTACCATGCATGATACTTACTCCTCTGTCACAGGCCTCAAATATGATCAAGAGAGCAGTTATTTACCCCCATGAACACTCTTGACACAATTGTACCAGTCTGCTTAGCAGACTAGAATTGTAGCATGTAGCATCCATAGATGATGTTTATCCCCAGAATCCTGCATAGTACCTTCCACTCTGTTAAAACTATCAAACAGGGTAGAGAACTTTCTGATGAGTTGTCGGGAGCCGCTAATCATTGAGCTGTTGGCAGCCTTGTTTACTGAGTTTGTGTCATGCAAACCAGTACTTAACCTGCCCATTCAGGAGGAAGGAGTTTTCTGGAGAGCCTCACAATACCTGACCTTGAGGCATTAGTGGTAAACAAAAGGATCCAAGAAGCCTTTGATCTGACCGCTCCCTGACCCTCAGATACAGGTGGGGAAATACAGCAATTGTAACTAATTGAGTTCTTCTGTATAAAAAGACAGAACTGAAATAAATCGAGGCTGCAGTATTTACTGTGAGCCCTCCCAAGGAGCGTCTTTTCTGTATCCTTTCCTTTCTTTCAATCCTCACTCCCCCTTTCAGGTACTGTCCATTTTGGCCAGCTGGCACCGGCAGGGAGGGAATGAGAGACAGGGATGGTTGGAGCACAGTGTTAGGGCAGAGAAACTATTCTGTATGACAGAACTGAAATAAATCGAGGCTGCAGTATTTACTGTGAGCCCTCCCAAGGAGCGTCTTTTCTGTATCCTTTCCTTTCTTTCAATCCTCACTCCCCCTTTCAGGTACTGTCCATTTTGGCCAGCTGGCACCGGCAGGGAGGGAATGAGAGACAGGGATGGTTGGAGCACAGTGTTAGGGCAGAGAAACTATTCTGTATGAAAAAAGGATAGACACCTGTCCTTATATACTTACCAGCACACAGTAGACTGCAGTAGTAAAACTGAGCCTTTGCCCCAAACACTGGCATCTACTGAGAAAAGGCTTACAGTTGTAAATATGTAACTTTTGCACCTCCAAAGCATCTCTCAAGCACCTGAGAGCCAGTCTCAGGAATGCAGTTGTTAAAACAAGACTGTAGAATAAGACTTCTGTCTCCAAGACTCCATGGAGGGCAGAATACCAACTTTC